TGACGTCATGGTGACGTCATGGTGACGTCATGGTGACATGATGACGTCATGGTCACATGATGACGTCATGGTGACGTTGTGGTGACGTCATGATGACGTCATGGTGACGTCATGGTGACGTCGTGGTGACGTCATGGTGACGTCGTGGTGTCTGTGACTGGCTCTCCTCTGCCACGTCACCAGTCACAGCTCACTCTGTTTCACTCAATGTATGCTTTCCTGCATGCTGACAGTGCAAAGGGAGGTGTGTGTGTGTGTGTGTGTGTGTGTGGAGACAGAGGGAGGGGCATTTCCTTGACTCCATCTGCTCTGCTCTCTCAGTGAGTCCCAGCTCACACATTTGTCTTCTCTCTCTGTGTCGCTCTCTCCTGCTTCTGTTCTTTATCATTTTATTTTTCGATGTCACACACACACACACACACACATGTTCATCTCACTCTGGTTTCATATCTGCTGGTCTTGTATCAGTCCACGTCTCTCTCCTCTCTTCATCCTGACCAACCTCTTGGATTTCTGCTGCTGCTTCATGACAGCTGCTGTTTTCAGCCTGTACTTCCTGGTTCTGCTCACTGCGACAGGAAACATCAGCAGACTGAGGTGGGTGTTTAAGAGAATCTTCGTTCGGTCTGAGCCCCCCCCCCGACCCCCCCCCACTTCATCCCATCTTTCAGTGGTTCAGAGTTGTGATGACTGTGCTCATCTGTTCTTACCACTGAGCCAGTGCTGTGTCTGCAGCAGCAGCAGCAGCATTTACCACTGTCACTGCTGCTGCTGCTGCTGCTGCTCTGTTCTCCTCTACCTCTGTCATATTTCATTCATATCTGATCCTTTTAGATTCCAAATCCTCAACCGGCCACATTGAAACGTGGTTGTGGAACAGTATAGAAATACATGTGAGCACTTCCACAGGAGACTTGGGTTCTTCCCCCGGCCCTGCCCGGCGGCAGCAGCAGGAGCAGCAGCAGCAGCAGTAACAGCAGGAACAGCAGCAGTAACAGCAGCAGCAGCAGCAGGAGCAGCAGTAACAGCAGCAGTAACAGCAGCAGTAACAGGAGCAGCAGCAGCAGTAACAGCAGCAGCAGTAACAGCAGGAGCAGTAACAGCAGCAGCAGTAACAGCAGCAGCAGGAACAGCAGGAGCAGCATCATCATCAGCAGCAGCAGCAGCAGCAGCATCCGTCTGAGTTTCATCTGTTGCATTCCCCCACATTCACCAACTGCCTGCAGTTTGGCGTTCTCTTGGCGTTCTCTCTGCGTTCTCTCGGCGTCCTCTCGGCGTTCTCTTGGCGTTCTCTTGTCGTTCTCTTGGCGTTCTCTTGGCGTTCTCTCGGCGTCCTCTCGGCGTTCTCTTGGCGTTCTCTCGGCGTCCTCTCGGCGTTCTCTTGGCGTTCTCTCTGCGTTCTCTCGGCGTTCTCTCGCGTTCTGAAGTATGAGGCTGAGAGTCTATGATAGTCATCTGTGCCTGTCACGACCTCTGGCTGTGTAACTGTGTAACTGTGTAACTGTGTAACTGTGTAACTGTGTTCAGGGGCTGAGTGTTGTTGGTAGATATTTCTGCATTACTGTGTAGTACAAACTCCGAAGTACAAACTCAGGAGAACGTGCTCTTTTAGGGCTGGACTTTGGTGCAATAAGCTGTTGAA